GGTAGATTTTTCTGCTCTGGAGAGTTCTCTTCCCGATCATTTGCTCGCTCCCACCCACCCTCCATAACTGTTCTCTTGTGCATGCGCTGTTGGTTCTGCTGGCCCGTGAATAAATCTCCCTCACGGAGGCTCGTCTCCCAGACCAAGGGGGGAGAGGCCCACATTGGCCAGGCCCCGTCAGGGGTCACGAGCCTGGCTCCTCCTCTGCCTTCCTTCTAGGAAAGGAGATGGTCGATTATATCTGCCAGTACCTGAGCACTGTGCGGGAAAGGCAGGTCGTCCCTGACTTGCAGCCTGGCTACCTGCGAGCCCAGCTTCCTGACAGTGCTCCTGAGGAACCTGACACCTGGGACAGCATCTTTGGGGACATCGAACGGATCATCATGCCTGGGGTGAGCAACAGTGTCCACAAGGGGGATTCTGGAGGTGGGTAGTAACCCTGAAAGAAGGCTTGCCTCAGGTCAGCCTGGGATGACAATGGCCACTAGGCCAGGAGCATACTGCTGGGCATGTGGCGCCCAAGACTTGGACTGGCTTAGGGTTCTTGTGCTAGGGTTGGCCTACTGTTTTGGTGGGGGCTCAACAGGGAACAAGGGCCACCTCTGGAAACACCACACTGGAGTCTGACTGAAAGGTGGGATTCTAGGGGGAAAGGCTAAGAAGTGGAAAAAGGGGGCCTGAGCTGAAAGACAGTAGCCTGGCTAGAGAGAGGAGGCTGGTGATGGTCCCCGAGGGTCCGAAGACCAAAGCCAGGGACCGACCCACATGAAGGGGAAAGATGAGGCTGAGAACATGGCTTCCTGAGGGTCCCCTCCTTGTCCAATTGGGAGGTCCGAGAGCTGGAAGGGTCTCTAGTGAGCCCCCCTTTTACTCCTCTGTGAAATGAGGGGCCTTACCAGGTGGGGGTCTTCTGACGGAACTGTTCCCAGAGGTAGGCAGGGCCTTTCCCTGATGCAGCAACACTCTAAAGCCAGAGTGCAGCCTGGGATTGGCTTTGGCCCAGGACAGGAACACAGAAGCTGACTGATGCAGAGGACTGGAACCGGAGTGACAATGCTCCCTCCCCGTGATGACAATCCCCGACCACCAATAAGCTCACATGAAACACACACCAGGCAGGGCTTCAACTGGGCCAAACCAGTTCTGTCACGATGGATGAAGGGAACCCAGGAGAGACCTACGTTTTAAACATTTGGCTGATCTAGCACATTGACTAGGACAGGAGAAATTGCAGGTTGAAGGCTTGGAGTGGGAGAGGCAGAGGAGGCTGAGGGAGTTCTTTCATGACACCTTGTTATTGTAAGGGCCGTGGAGAGCCGACCCCCACCCCAGCAGGATGCTTAGCGGCCGTCTTTGAGAAGCCAGTGAACAGATTTGGTTGCTGTGCACTCTGTTTCTTTCCTGGGAGGGAGATTACGTTTCTAGCAGGCTCTGACCTGTAATTTCCCATTTTGATTATTGTCCCAGTTCACCCACATTTTAAAAAGCTAGGTCTGTCCCCATGTCACTTTATTTCTCATGTGTGAACCGGCTCTAAGCCCAGCCACCAGGCCTCCTCCCTTTGACTGAGTTCCATGCCAGGGGCCAGACACCGTACTAGTTGCTTGACTGGGATGGTCCCTCAGCCCTCACAGTGACCTTCAAATCCAGTCAGGTCTAGTTGCTATTGAGTGGACCCTGATTTCTGGTGATCCTATGAGTGTTGCCATAGGGTTTTCAGTGACTGGGTTTCCAGAAGTAGACCACCAGGCCTTACTTCTGAGGTACCTCTGGGTGGACTGGAACCACCAGCCTTCTGATCAACCGTGGAGCACATAAACCATTTGCCCATGAGGGGACTCCACAGTGACCCTATGTGGGGGAAACCAGCCCCTCACACTATCACGGGTCCGGTAGATGCCATTATATGGTTGTGATAGATAAAGGTGGTAGTAAAGTCATAGAGAATAAGAGCGATAGAAGAGAAGGTAAAATAAAGGAGTCAGACACATTTCATAGTAGCAGCCTCACCTCCTGGATGGCCATGATCTCACAACCAGCCAGGTCCGTGCACAGCGTGGGCTGAGAGGGCAGGTGAGCAGGAGAAGTTCTCTTTATTTCTGGCCAAGGCCCATCTGTATTTAGGGGCTTGATTACAGGTAACCACATACGTCACAGGAAGGGGCTGTACAATAGGTAATACAATAATGGGAGGGGGACGATCTAATGAGAGGGGTGTACGTGCTATAGGAAGAGGAGGGATTAAGGGTATGCATGTGACAAGATGGGCGGATCCTAGATTCATGATGGTGGCCTAACCTGATTGTCCTTGAGCTAGAGCTTGACTTACTCTAAGCTCTCTAGGGAGAGCAATCTACTGTCCTTATCAGAAGGGCGTGGGCCCCACCTATGGCGGGACAGACTATATACAGTCTGATTGCTCCATATGGCTGATAGCCTTAAGGAGAATAACCTCTGACCTACTTTCATTGACCTCCAAGTGTATAGTCATTTGCCATGTGTAGCAAGCAGCTAGGTTTGGCATATATTGGGGGGAGACAACCTGAGATAAATCTTTCTGTATCCCACAACCCTAGAATCTTTGTTTTACAGATGAGGAAACAGGTTGAACGAAGTTCATTGTCTTGCCAAGCCACACAGAATGAGTAGCTGGCAAACTCAGGATTTTAGCCAAGGTCCATCTCAGTCCTAAGCTTTGTCTCTTTAAAAAATGTTTTTAAACCAATCCTATGTCTAACCCTAACTCAAACCCTAACCACAAGCCTAATCCTAACCCTAACCCTCGCCTTGTCTCTTTCTCTCATGCATCACTACCTATGATTGAGTGACATAGTGCACCCAGACTGAGCCCATGGTAAACCTGGGCACCCAGCACCGCTTGGCAGCGGGTCCCCTCCATTCGCTGTCTGGGGAGTTTGAGTTCTGGAGTGTGTAGGCCCAGAATCTCTTCCCAAAGCTGACTCGAGATAGGTCCCCATGCTCGTCAAAGAGCGTTGGATTCAGATGTGGCAGGGATGAGACATTTTTTAGCTCAGAGACCCAAGCAGTCCAAGGATGGCAAGTTTGCATATAGCCCAGTGCTCATTTCTCTTCGACCTTTCATAAGTATCTTTTGGGGGGAAATGTATATATAAACAGTGTTAAATCGGTGAAGATTTGCCATGGAAACCCACTCCCAGATAAGATTATCTCAGGGATCCACTCTGTAAAGTGTAATCTGCCCAGGGACAGACTGTCATCTGGTAGTGAGACTGAAACAACGGTCAGAAGGTGGGGCCCTGAGCTGATGCATTTGGCTGAGAGAAATTCCAGTAGTTGCTGGGGTGTGGGGTGGGGTGGTCAAAGAGGTCTTTCGATAAGGGCTACTCTGCTTATCTTATTCTATTTATCTTACAAGAGCAGACAATTGTCTCTTGATAGGGCCAGGAGATGGGGGCCCTTCTCGGGGGATGGGGGTTTCCAAAATACTGTCACTGAGCACCGCGATAAGGGGGGTCCCATCTTTCATCTGATCACCAAGACTGGGGTAGCCTCTGGGTGGGGCCTGGAAGCAGTTGAGCCTTTGGTCAGCACCCCTGTGGAAAATGGCTTGTTGAACTGTCTCCTGCCTGCTGCTTGCTAAGAAGCTCCAAGCGGAGAAAAAGCCTCCTTCCCCGTTCATGCCACCCCTGGCTAGAAAAGCCTCATTTATGCTTCAAGAGGGGGAGGGGACAACCGTGGGGGAGGGTGCCATCCTGCTGATGTGTCTGAGTTCTGGACACCAGCCTTGGCTCCATCATCTGTCCCTTAGGAGGTGTGTGTGTTCACAGACACCCAGGCATGCCCCTCTCTGCCAGCCCCACTCCTCGACTGTACCACCAGGGTAGAGCTTGCCACCTTGCCTGCTGGGAGAATTAAGTAAGAGACACTATGTAAAGTGGTCTGTTACATGACCAAGGAGGTGTCTAAAGTGATGTGTTGTTATGACCTATGATACCTTCCATGACTCCTCATGGAGCTATGTGAAGCACTCAGCTGCTAATCCAATGGTTGGGGTTGCAACTCACCCAGCGATTTTGCCAGAAAACAAGATTTGGCAATCTGCGTTGGTTAAGATTACTGCCAAGACAACCCAACGGGAGAGCTCACCTCTGTCACTGGCTGCTGTGCATTGAAAATCCACCTGACCACACCTACCAACAACGTGAAGCCTTCCGCCGGTGCCGACCCAGGGGAACAGTTTGGTTATCCGCAAGTCAGGTCAGGTCTGGGATGTGGCTCCTCTAGTGCAGCGGTTCTCAACCTGTGGGTTGCGACCCCTTTGGGGGTCCCATGACCTTTTCACAGGGGTCGCCCGATTCACAACAGTAGCAAAATTACAGATATGAAATAGCAATGAGAATCATGTTATGGTTGGGGGTCACCACCACATGAGGAACTGTATGAAAGGGCCGCGGCATTAGGAAGGTTGAGAACCACTGCTCTAAACCAAACTTGCTACCATGGAGCCAATGCTGACTCATAAGCGACCTCCTGTGGGTTTCTGTAACTGTAGCTGTTTATGGGAGTAGAAAGCTCAGTCCTTCTCCCACGGAGCTGGTAGTTTTGAACTGCCGGCCGTGCGGATTGCAGCCCAATGTGTAACCACTACATCCCCAGGGCTCAGTATTAGGTTACCATTCACATTAAGGCCAGTAGCCCTGGAGTCAATTTGCACTCGTGGTGACCTTGTATGAGTCCTATAAGGTTTTCAATGGCTGGGTTTCCAACATGTAGACCCCCCCCCCCCCCAGGCCTTTCTACCAAGACTCCTTTGGGAGGACTTGAACCTCCAACCTTTCAGCTAGCAGCCATGTGTGCTAACCATTTGCACCAGCCAATGGCCTCATCCACGTGGTGCTGTCTGCTTTAGAAATTCTCTGCCCTTGCCAACTTACAACAACTCATTTTTCAATGAGAAGCTGAGCCCTAAAAATGTGCAAGGGTGAACCTTGGTCTTATGGGCCTGAAGGATATATTGATTCGGGGAGTCCCTTGAAGAAAAGATTTTGAAACAGAGACCTGGCAGCTTGAGTTCCTTAGCTTCACAGTAAATCCGCAAGGTCACACTGCTGCTTAGGGGGCAGAGGTAGGCCTGGGACCTCAGACTTTGAACTTCGACTCTTAAGCTCCTTCATTACGTCTAACAGACTGTCTAGGCCGTGATGCTTGCTCTTGAAGCATCATGAACATCTGCGCACACTGAAAGAACCACACTGAAAGAACGGGTTCTCCGCAGGTTGGAATACCTGGAAGGCGTGTGCCCCCTGGGATCCACGGTGCCACGGGAACTGGGGAAGGGCTTTCGGAGGAAGAGATGCTAGACATACTTAGTTATTCTCTACGAACGAACAGGCGTTTGTGGTTTAGTGGGTGTGGGAGCGTCTTCCTGTCACAGGACGCAGCATTGCTCTGAGACAACGCATGTAGAAATGAACAGGCCCTGGGCCAGAGCAGTGAGATGAGGTGAGATTAGATAACCGATGATACAGAAGACCGATGGAGCGTGCTGTGGAGGCCTCTTGTAAAAGCCCTGTCTGCCCAGTTCCTCTTTACATCCACTTTGAAGCAATGAGGTAGCATGC